AATCACGTTTCGTGATTTCACCAAAAAAATGGGCTGCGCTTATTTTTAACATCTACGCCAAAAATGTTTACTCGAACACAAATACATTATACTTGTTTTGAAAATTTATGTGAAATTGCTTATTCAGAGTTCAGGGATGACACTGAGATAAAATCTGTTTCCTGTGGATTTTAATTCTATATAGTGCAGGGAGAAAGGAATGGCCAAGTCCGGCAAGCCTCTGTTTGCTATAAGGTATCCAGATTCCACAGGATCATCCCGATTTTCATGATCAGCAAGGATTTGAACGAGCAGATTTCACAAATGGCAACAGGAACGGGACTGAATCCATCTATGGTAGCACGATCTTCCTACCGTTTAGAACTTCAAGCTCAACCACACTGATCGCCGTCGTACTATCCAGAGGCAAACAAGACCCATCGCATGGAATGGAGCTTCAGGGGCTTTTACATTGCTCACCTCTGACGGTCAAGAACTGAAATGTGTGGGATCTGATCTGCTTGGCACGCTGTCCATATCGGTTGTTCAATGGGCCAGCTAAATTCATTTTTTTGAAAGTTCATCTAATTCACCATTATAAGAAAAATAATATTATTTTCAAAAACACCGTCTATTTACCCCCACAGATCTCTCTCTCGGTTAAAAAAATAAAAATCAATCCCTTAATGTTCTAGAGCACAGCTAGTTTACATGCATTTCAGTTTTGACTTTTGAGAATGTTTATTGTCGCTGATATAGGGTGACCGACGACGCGACGCTGCATGAAGCTGAATTGGGTCAATTTCGCCGACGACAAATTGAAGGTTCAGAGGAAGAAGCTGGACGGCTCCGCGCAGCTCGGCGGCGGCGTGCCTGTGGCTCGCTCAAGCCGTGGTGGATCGATCATTCGCTGGACGTCGTCCGCAAGATCGAAGCTGAAGCATGCGATGCCATTGTCGCTGCCCAAGGCCAAGGTCGTCATATCAACAGCGGGGACCTTCTTCGATATCCAAATCGACGGCAAGCCTGATGCTGCCCATCATGATACCATCTCACCTGAACATGCTATCAAATTCAGAATCCATCCATCTTGTTAAGAAACCAAATCTTGAGATGATTGTGTTTTTCTATTGCCCCATCGCTCTCTGTTGTCACACTTATGCCCGCTCGATGCTCCTAATCGCAACTTTATTTCGCACACAGGCTCGGATCTTGCTGGGACTTTTTGGAAACACTGTTCCAAAAAAAACAGTTGTCACAATATATAATGCATATGTTGGATCTCAAATTGCTAACGCTCAAAGTTTATACACCAACAAATGTTATATTGCCTTTTTTTATCATGATGAGTTCGTTGTTGATAGGAAGAACACTAACTACCGTCCATGTGTACCTTTTCGTTTTTTACATAAAATTTCCATTTTACACAGGTAACTTCCTAATTACAACCATTTCTCAACTATAAGGCCTTAATGGTCTTTTGCTCAACCACGTTTGTCGCGAGCCTTCATTCTCCAACTTTACTGGTCACAAATCTTCTTGTTGTCTTTTAAAAACTTTTCAGACTTCAGGGATGACACTGTACAAATCCGTTTCCTGTAATTATACATACGCAGGGGAGAGAGGAATGGCCAAATCCGGTCTTCCTCTGTGATCTTGCTTCTTCTTTCCACGGGATCATCGCAAAATCTCTTTATCAAAGGAGGAATTTTTTGAGCAAAGTCGGGATTTCCATCTATGGCAGCACGATCTTCTTTGACCCTTCAAGTAAACTTTGTTATTGAAATCACACTTTACTCCAAACACTATGCATGGAATGGAGCTTCAGGGAGTTTTGCATTGCTCACCTCTGATGGTCAAGAACTGAAATGTGTGGGATCTGATCTGCAGGCACGCTGTCCATGGACACCTTCTTCTCCACTGCGACCCACATAGCCGGATCTCGCTGTGCAGTGCTCCGTTCGTCCACACACCTGCCAGGGTTTGTTGAAAAGCGCAGATCGTAAACGTTTGTTTCAAGTGTTTCAGATGTTTTAGAGGTATGTTGCAAGTATTTCATATAGATGTTGCAAAAGTAAATCATGATGTTGCGTATGTTGCAATGGTTGTACGCGTATGTTGTAAGAGTCTGTTTTTGAATGTTTCATCTGTTTTTTCAGATGTACGTTGCAAGTATGTTTATCTAGATGTTGCATATGTTTCACACATGTGTTGCAAGTGTTTTATCTGGATATTACGTATGTTTGCAATGGTTTTCAAGTGTTTTTAAGGTGTCTCTGCAAGTGTTTCAGACACATGTTTCAAGTGTTTCATATATTTTCAGACGTATGTTGCAATGGCACCGGTGGCTGGCGGACAGCGGCCTGCTGCAGGGCTTTGGCTCCTTCCTCACGCGGCGTGCATCGCCTCTCTCTCTCTCCTGTCCCTCCCCTCCCCTCCCTTCCATCCATCTCGACGCCCGCAACTCGAGCTCGTTGAGCGCCTTCCCTTCCCTCCATCTCGATGCCCGCAGTTCGAGCTCAAAGAGCGCGATGACGCAGACGCCTGACAAGCACGGTACGTGCGGAGATGGTGGCCCGACGAGCGTGCGGAGGTGGTGGCCCTAGGTAAGCCGACGGCGGCGCGATGCCCGCGTGATGGCCCCGCAGCAAGCTGAGATCTGCGCCGTCCGCTCGCTTCCTGCATGAAACAGAGCCACCGCGGGCATCCATCCGGATGTCCGGGCAAGAGTCGTACCTTCCTGCATGGTTTGTGCTTTAAATTTGGCATGTGTCCATGGTTAACCATTCAAATATTTTGCAATTGCTGATGCCCTTTATCACTGGCAAACCGTAATATTATTTAAATATAAAATTGCAGATCTAAATGTTGTAATAGAAAAATCATAAATCTAGGTACCTGTCCGCACTTCAAGAGCCGACAGACAACTAATCGACCGCCCAAAGGCTGATACGATCTTGTCGGCAATTAGATCGCCGAGAGATGATGCCACGAGTCCGCGGCTGTATCCCCTCCCCTAATGATCCACTCCTGCTAATGACATAAGGTTGGCCATGCCCATTTTCTTTTCTTTTGTTTATTTCATTTCACATAGCTGGTGTTTCTTTTCACCTGGCGAAAGGCTGGCAATGTCCTTTTTCTTTGTTTTTTCTATTTCATTTCACATAGCTAAATGTTACCAATATATTTTCATAATAAACATATTTAAAGATATAAATGTTACCAGTATATTTTCATAATAAACATATTTAAAGATATAAATGTTACCAGTATTTTTTATAAATCTAGTGAAACAAATTATTTTGGGATGGAGGAAATAGGCATTTCAAGTTCAAGCGCTCAGGTTGCATACAATTCTTATGAATGTATGCATGCACATCTTGACCTGGCAAGCATTTGCGAGGAGTGACAAGCTAGATCAGCAAATCTCAAGACACCTCGCTATCGACGAGACATCGTCTGTGTCGTGGGTTCATAACCATGGCTATGTATGAAACTTTCCAGATTACTCAAGACACGATAGGGTTCATCCTGGTTCAGACGTGCTTGCAGCCTTTCTAGATGATAGGAGCTGGCTGGCAATCTAGGAGCTCGTAGTTTTACCACTAAAATAATAGCGCCGTTAATAATTTCAGAAAATTACAAACACTCGGTCTAAATCGAGGACTTGCTTGGGTGAGTAGATTTCACCGTAAGAAATCTAACTTGCTCGGGTGAGTAGATTTCACCATAAGCAAAATGGGTTGCGCTTATTTTTTAACATCTACTTAAAAATGCCTTCGTGACGTGGACATTGCAATTGCATGTGCTAGTGTATTTTAATTGTCTGTGATAGTGCATTGCCTAGTTAGACAGCTTGCATGTTGAGATAATGAGGTTTTGCTGAGTGGATTTTAATTCTATGTGATAGTGCATTGTCTAATTGGACCGTCTGCATGTCTAGATAAATAGCTAAGGGTTTGCTCTATAAGAGTATAAGATAGGATAAGTAAATCGCCGCGCAAATTGATTTGAATGAGCAGCATGCAAATTGATTTGAACGAGTAGAAAAAGAAAAGGCAAGCCAGTTCGGGCGGACCAGGGGCCGACAAGCAGCTGCTACCGTTTAGGCTGCAGTTACGTGGACGTGATATTGTCGGCTATCCAGAGGCCGACAAGACCAATCGGCCAACTAGGTGCCGACAAGAGGCTTCCCGATTACACCTACTACTGTTTAGTCCGCGGATCCGCGCACGCGAGGCTATCGGCCAGTTTGGGGCGGCAGGGCCCATATCGGTTGTTCAATGGGCGATAGGCAGCTAAATTCTTTTTTTTTGAAAGTGACATCTAATTCTACAATTATTTATTTAAATAATATTATTTTAAAAAAACACCATCTATTTGTAGCCAACAGAGTGCAACAGAGACGGTTACATGAATCCAACGTGCCATCTATAATTTATAGGGCCGTCGCTATTTCTGTCTGGCCCACCTGTCAGCCAGAGCCAGCCCTCCTCCTTATAAGGAAGGATCGAGGACGACCGACGACGCGACGCTGCATGAAGCTATAAGAGAGCCGCAGGTCAGGCTCGCCGGCGACGAGGACGGAGGAAGGAATCAGAGGCAGGAGACCTGGCCGCGATGGCTCCGCGCAGCTCGGCGGCGACGTGCCTGTGGCTCGCTCTCGCCGCGGCCACCCTATCGATCATTCGCTAGCTGAATGCCTCCAGCTCCTTACATCGCCTCTGGCGATTCTGATTCTGATGCATGCGATGCCATTGTCGCTGTTCAGGCGCAAGGAGGACCATCACGGCCAGGACCTTCCTCGATATCCAAATCGACGGCAAGCCTGCAGGTTCGTACATGCATGCATAGTTACCATTTCACCTGAACATGCTATCAGAAATTCAGAATTCGAGTCTGAGATTTGCCGGCCGGCTTGATTATCCTGAGATGATTGCATTATTTCTATTGCCCTCCCTCTCTCTGGTCACACTTATGCCCGCTCGATGCTCCTAATCGCAACTTTATTTCGCACACAGGCCGGATCGTGCTGGGACTTTTTGGGGACACTGTTCCTAAAACAACAGGTACTATATATATAGGCATATATCATCTCAATTTGCTAACGCTAGGTCACAGACCAACAAATGTTGTGTTGCCTGTTTTTTCCTCATGATGAGTTCGTTGTTGATAGGAAGAACACTAACTACCGTCCATGTGTACCTTTTCGTTTTTTACAGAGAATTTCCGAGCTCTTTGCACAGGTACGCTTCCTAATCCTAACCATCTCTCATGCCATTTTGCCTTAATGAAAAACATGCTCAACCACGTTTGTGCGCGGAGAAAAAAAAGCATTACGCCAAAAAGTTTACTCGAACACAAATACATTATCCTTGTTTCGTGAAAATTTTAAAAAACTTATTCAGAGTTCAGGGATGACACTGTACAAATCCGTTTCCTGTAATTATACATACGCAGGGGAGAGAGGAATGGCCAAGTCCGGCAAGCCTCTGTGCTACAAGGGATCCACATTCCACGGGATCATCGCGGGCTTCATGATCCAAGGAGGCGATTTCACAAACGGCAACGGAACGGGGACCGAATCCATCTATGGCAGCACGATCTTCCCTGACGAGAACTTCAAGCTCAATCTCAGTGAAGCCGGTACGCCCCGCGACCAACGTTCCGCTGAACACCCCGTGACCAGCGTTCGCGTTGCCGAACGCCCTGCCAAACGCCCCGCGACCAACGTGAGCGAGGAAAGCGAGATAATCCCGCCGAACGCCCCGCGACCAACGTTCCGAACCGCGTTCAAGAGTATTATATAAACTACAATTACATGTCCAATTCACAAGAATATATACAATCAATCATTAAATAGACATAATTCACAAGGTAAAACCAATGTCAAATTCCATACACATTCAGTCCCACGAAGGTGTTGGTACTGAGGATTTCTACCTAAGTCAGACTCTCGGTCATGGTAGGTGCCTTTGATGTGTACAATCTGGTCCAATATGGAGTTGCAAAGGTCACCGACGAGCTCTAAGAGTTGGTCACCCTTGTATGGGTCTCTTTTCATTTCTTTCTCTTCTTTCCACTACAAGAGAACAAGTTTTGATTTAGTATTTCATACCATGTACGAAGTTTTTATACTACGGGTGAAGAGGTTCAAACTTACCTTTAAGGGGTGTCTCCTGTAGGCACCGGTGTTACTTATCATAGAACATACATAGTATCCACAATGTACACTCTCAGGCTTCTGCTTGGGGCATTGTGTGTTTTGCATATGAAAATGTTAAGTAATGCATTTGACAGCCATGTAATGGAGTACTGAAGAAGTAAGTTACACTTACCGCACATAGTGTTTTTATAGCCAACTTTTCCTTCCTTGCTGGATCATGCCTTCCGTGATGTTTAGTGACATAGAACCTAAATGTCTTGTTCAAATTATTTTAGCAAATACAACTTGTTAGTATCCAAAAGTGAACGTTACAAGTATGTATACAAACATATAAGCTAATGAAGATTGTCGATATGTATACGTCTTGAGAATTGATATAGAGTCTTTGTATGTCACTGGGTCCCTATCTATTGAATCAAAGACCCATGCCATGCTTCTCCCGACATCAACGCCTATACAAATCCAGTGGTTGCTGCATGGATTTAATCTTAGAACTAGATAAGCTCTTTGGCATCGAATAAAATATATCGAACAAAGCTTTAAGTATAGAGTTGAACTTACTCGAAGTTGTATGGTAGCCATATAGTAGAGTGCTGTTGGAGAATTTTTAAAGCCAGGGCAATGTATGCCACAACCTTAAGGGACTCTTCCCTTAGTTTTGCCGTACAGATATGTTCTTTCTCCCGAAGGGTCTTTCTAGCAGCTAGCTCTTTGGCATCCAGTTTCCACTATTTAGGGTAATTACAATTTGTTTGTGCTATAGCTTGAGGGTCTATATACCTGGCTTTCACACTTGACATTTGTTTGACAATGTGCACTTGAATTCTACAAATCATGGCGTGGGTTAGTTACAACAAAATTCAAAAATTACATTCATATCATATCGGGAGGACAAGGACTTACAGGCACCACGTGCGAATTAGATTCATCTCCATTGCTCCGAGGTGAAAGCATGTCTGCATGTCATTGAAGTCAAAGACAATTTTTTGGTTGGGCTTCCAAATGTGCCGGTGGGGAAGAATGCTTGTACGAGGTCTATGCTCGTTGGGAGAACACGCAAGTACCAATCATGGAACCTTCTCATTCCAAGTGGTAGGCGCTGGATGTCCTAGTTTGGTAGGAAGGGCTTGCCTCTTTTATATGTTTTCGGGCAATTCTTTGACCATTTGATGGCATCAACATTTGGATACTGCTTTGCTATTTGGTGGAGTTTGCTAGTGACGACCTCCTCAGAACCCCGTGATGTGACTTTTTTAACTTGGTTCTCAGGCTTGAACTGGTCATGGGAATACCACTGTTGCACCGACGAGATGTCTTTCATCGGAACATAAATTGGTCTTATGGTGATTGGATGCTTCTTTCAAAGTTCCCATTTAGGCACGTCCTCATCTTCTTGTGCATCACCTTCTTTAGGAGGCACTCGTTGTTCATGTATCGGCTATGCTTGTTGAGAAGACTATGGCATCTCATCATGCACTTGCTCGGTACGAGCTGGAGAAGGCACATGCTCGCTAGGAGATAGGGAAGAATGTGGCATCTCAGGAATGTGGTGGTCGTGAGACGGTGAAAATATCTCCCTGACCTCAACAATTCGCTCCAAATCTAGGAGAGGGGAGGCGGCGAAGAAGCAGTCAATATAATGTCCCGTTTGTGCCAGAGGATGAACTGCCCCATTACGTCTCTGAGTAACACCAGCCCTTTGGGAGTTGCATAGTCTATCCTCCACTGCATGAACTCGGGCTTCACGGTATGCACCTCGACCCTAGTGTAGTCCGGCGGTATCTTATTATTGTGGTGTAAGCCACCGGGAGGATGTGCCACACCCGTTGCCACCTCCATCACAATGTTTTGCCGACCGCTGAGAAACACCAAGGTGCAACTAGTTGGTTCTCGTATGCGATCGACGAGGGTTGTGGCTGTAGTGGAACCTTGGCTGCTAGGAACTTTCGGAGGGCTGCCAACTAATGCCAGTTCTCTCGGCGACGTCATTAATGTCCGTAGCTCCGTAGATAGTCCTTGCTCCTCCAACGCCTTCGCAACTAGAGCCTTTACTTGGAGCTCAAGATTAGTCTCCTGGTCTCTACCATGTTTCTTGTACATGTGCCTATCCTCTTCGAATCCGTGCTTCTAGGTCATCCTTTTCCCTAGCCCCCTGGTGCGGCCTATGTGCTCCTTGTTTCCCAAGCTAAGGCTAAGCTCATCTCTCTCTCTAGAAGGATTGAATGAGCCCTTCTCCTTGTCTTCAGCATATTTTAGTATCCTTGATACTGCCTCTTGGGTCTCCGGCTTATTAAACTTAAGATTACCGTCGGATGATTCTGTACTCCTCGCATATATCCAATTCCTTGAGCGTACCTTCAAATTTATCACATCGATATTCCCAGTAGCTGCAGCCTCTTCGTACATCTTCCTAAACTGCTCTTTCTTGGCATAGTAGCCACCGGGGCCTAGATGATGGTGGTGTTTGTTCCTCTTCGCCAGCTCGGTGTTACGGGCACTGAGCTCCAATGCCTCCGGTGAAGTCTTCTGAGCCACGAGCTCCTCCTATTGACTAGGAGTTATTTTGCCAAACTCGTTGAAGGGAGTTAACCTCTTTTGGATATACTTCTTGTTGAGCTCCGACCTCCAACGTCGGAATGACTCTCCCATCATCCTAAAAGTATTTTATTTACCAGTTCGTGCTTACCCTCCGAAAATCTAAAATTGAGCTTCAGCTGCCTATCCCATAGTTCATCCTTTTTCTTCTCTGGTACCTCTTTCTAGTTAGGGATTGCTGGGTTCAATTTATCTCTTACTAGGGCCCCGATCGCATTACGGAATCATCCTCTTAATTCCTTCGGCTCAAGGATCTCCCTTGCTGGCCCGACCTCCGTTATCACATAACATACCTTATCTGGATGTAGATTTACTTTTATATCCCCTCATTTCCTCTTAGGCTTGGTAGTCATGGTTGTGGCTTGAGGTTGTGGAGCAGAGGCCTCAATGTCCGTCTCTATGGCTGTTGCCTCTGCTCTCCTTTCCTCTAATCTGTCTTGTCCAGCGAGATGTCACGGACGTCAACGTCGTCTTTTTCGAGTTTCAAGAGGGACTTGTATATACGACAGGTCAAAGTGTTAGCAGAGGTAACACAGCCAAAGTTTTAGCAAAATTTATAAGCTAAGGCTTTTTCCCTACCTCCTCGTTCAGGTTAAAATCCTTGTCCAAATCTTCCTCCGTTGGCCTCCTTCTGGCTTCATATGAGAAAGGATCCTTGGGACTTACATATCCCTCTTCTGAGTCATCATCATCATCCTCTTCTTCTTCGCCTTCAGCAGCCTCTCCTGCTCTTCCTTTTGCTCCCCCTTCCTCCTTGTCACACTGCTCTTGAGTAAGCATCACTTCTAGATGCTTTTCTAACTCGATATCAAACTGCTCCTGAGTAAGCTGGTCCTCTAGTGCTTGCTCCTCATAGGTTGGCTGCTCATCATGCTCGGGGCATTGGGCTACACTATCTGGTGTCCGCGACATTATTTCATTCTTTATTCTAATAGATGCAAGAAAGTGTGCTTTAGGTATGCGAGAAGGTATAAGAAATCAAAAAGGTCTATAAACCAAAGTAGTCCTATAAAACAACAATATATCAAAAAAAAAGTAGTAGCAGTAGTAGAGGCCTCAGAAACATGTCAATCATCATCTGATCTTGAACTTGGAGCATCAAGGCATCATAACAGAGAAGAGAGGATAAGGTAATGTAGGGGCGGTTACTAATGATGCCAAGTTCCTCACATGTTCTTGATCATCAGCTCATATTCCATATAATGTATGGACTTAGACAATTTCATCATCGGCAAAACAAAGGAGAGGAGAGGAGAGGGGAGATTTGGCAAAAAAGCAACAGCTGCTTAACAAACATAGAGAGGAAAATGTGTAAAAAAAAGCAGCAGCTGCTTCCCAAACATAGAGGATAGGAAAGCAGGAGGACCCATTCGATCATCATGCCAATTTAGATATAGTAGTAGTAGTAGTAGTAGGACAATAGTATAGAAGTAGCAGCCAGCAGTGTAGCAGCCAGTAGTTAAGAGCAGCAGCCACTTAAATATAGTAGTAGTTATAGATAGAGTAGTAGAAGTGAGCCACTTAGTAGCAGCCACTTAGTAGTATAGGGAAGTGAGTAGAGTAGCAGCCAGCACCTAGGGAAGAGAGTAGAGTAGCAGCCAGCTAGTAGTAGTAGGAGTAGCTAGCAGTAGCAAGTAGAGTAGTAGTAGTTTAGTAGAGTAGTCTAGGACAGTAGTAGGACAATAGTATAGCAGTAGAGTAGTAGTGGAGTAGAGAGTAGTTGAGTAGTAGTAGAACAGTAGTATAGCAGGAGTAGTACACGAGCAGAGCCACTTAGTAGTGCAGTCGAGAGTAGTAGAGGAGTAGTAGGATAGTAGTATAGAAGGAGCCACTTAGTAGTATAGGGAAGAGGGCAGAGCAGGGACGGCTGGTGTATCACCAGCCGCCCCTGCTGTTCCATTCGTATCACCAGCCGCCCCTACAGTAGTATAGGGAAGACTTAATTTAGATTTGATGTTTCTATTTGCAGTTTAGTAAGTCAAACTGGTATTAGCAAATTGATAGCTATAGATTGAAAGAAGAGAGAAAAAATATGAATGTATTGATACACATCAATCTCATCTTTGTCAATGAAAACTGAACATAATCTCTTACAGGTCCTAGATTAGAATAGAAGCAAATTCCGGCTAGTGGCAGTAGTGGCAGAGGACGGAATAAAATGAAGGAATGGCAAAACTGATGACATAGACAATGGAAGATCCAAAGTCAAAGTAGTGCATACACATGCAACACACAGTTACGTGCTAAGTATGAATTATAGAACTACCAAACATATATATATTCATAAGCACAGAGAAGAGAATGAAGAAAACAAAGTGTTGCAAGATCATAGATATGCCAAAAAGGCACAGGTTGTAATAAGAGAGAATCAGGGAAAGTCCAAGAGATCAAGTTAGCTCCAAGGAAAACAACTCAATGTTGAGAAGAAAACACTGCACAAACTAATAAGATCAAAATTGGAAAGCCAAAATTTAGATTCATAAAGTTACAGTACATAGGCTGCGATAAGAGCTCACATAACTGAAACTAATTATCAACTAAACACATATTAAAGGCATGAGTGTGCTATGCAAAGTGGAAAGACTATAAATATGGATGAAAAACATATTGAGTGGTAACCAAAGTCTATCTCAGTCGGACAGAGATTACAATATATTATATTAGAAAACAAACAAAGAGAGATCAAAGATAGCATTTTTAGTTAGATGAGGATCAAAATTTTATTTATGAACTTCTAATATTAATATCTTCTAAGATTCTAGCCCTCATACGAGTAGGGTTTGGTGGACTAGTGATAATAAAATAGCCATATCAAATCCTTGCAATACTTTTCTTGGCATCATCAAATCCTAATAGCTCCTTCAATTGCTAAAAAGTGACCACTATGGTTAAGCTTTATGAGACTACATAATCTGTTAGTGATACTCACGAGTTGGAAAATATAATAAATAAAAACATCTAGACCCTACCATTTTACGTCCTCAGAAAACAGAGAAACCCTATAAAAAACAGAGAAACACTTATATAGGGAGATGCACTATACATGACCTTTCCTTCTAAAAAGCAAAGATTTAGCAATTAAATTTGTAAACTGACACGACCTGAATATTTAATATCAATTATGTCACTCTCTTCTCCTCCACTTGGGGAAAACATAGTGATAGAGTAGCAGGAATGTCCATATATATATATATATATATATATATATATATATATATATATATATATATTATATATCTTCATTCACTTTGTTCTAATTTCCCTTTGTTCTATTATAATTTACTTTAGAATTTTCCTATATTCAAATTTTATAACTTCGATCAAGTTTTTATAAAAATATAGTAACATCTACAAGTTTAATTTCCACTGTCCAGTCTAAATGGTGGTGGATCAGCAACATGAGTTGATTGGATTAGTGGCTATGTGTCTTTTTCCTTGCTAAAACACATGGATTGTGAAAAGTCAAGGAAAGAATAAAACAATGGTGGCTGACTGGCTACTTTGCTCGAAACAGCCATGCAATACAATCTACACAAACACAAGGGTAGATCACAAAGGGCATGGAGCTTCAGTAATCAGACCCTATACATGCTACATATTGGACATAGTTGAAGTACCCTGAAGCAAATGAGAGTCTCAATAATCATATTCAATATATATGCCCCAACGAAATATAGCTCAATGTAAGTGAGGCATGCTAATCTAACAACCAAAAGTAGTACAGTGGATAATATTATCATAGACAGCACAACAAACTGAAAGAAAGCAGTGAGGATGCCCATAGCACGAAAGCCGTATTATCTTCATGATGGCCTTCTCCAAAATTATCACAGGGGGCAACCAACACAAGCAAGCCATGCTAAACCCTAGTAATAAAACCCATGAAATTGGCAGCTAAAAGAAGGGGTTGGGCTTACCTGTAGAAGACGGCGGCGATGCGCGGGGGCCGGCTGAGGGATGGCAGCCAGAGGAGAGGTCGGAGAGGAGGTGTCGCACGCTGTTGGCGGGGACGACTATAGAGCACATGGCCGGGCGCGCAAGGGCCGGCGAGGTCGGAGAGGAGGCTCCGCCGGTGGCGGGGACGACTACCAGAGCGCACGGCCGGGCGCGCAAGGGCCAGCAAGGACGAGGCGGCGCAGCCACGTGGATTGTGAGCTCTCGCGCAAACCCTAGCCGCCATGGCGGCCAGCCTGGGGAAGGCGGTGTTTGGGGAAGGAAGCGTGGCCGGCGACGGAGGCGGTCATAGGAGGACGGCGAAGGAGAGAGGACGCAGCGCTAGGGCACGGAGACGGCGGCGGCGGCGGGAACAGTTGGGCAGCCTGACGGCGTCGGGAGGAAGAAGAGAGCGCCCAACACTAGTTCACCTGAGTGCCCTTGTTTTTGTACTCAGGACGATTTGTAGGGGCGGTTCCTGATCCAGCCGCCCCTACAAATTTGTAGGGGCAGTTCCTGATCTACCCGCCCCTATAAATATTTTCTATTTTATTAAATTATTAATTCTGTATTTTTTATATCACAAAGTAAATGTATATAATATTTTATATTATTCTATATATGTACAAATATATATAAAAACAATTGTAGTCGTAAAAGTTGTAAACATAACTCAATCTTGTCGTGTGACTACAATTTGAATTTTAAAAATTTAAATTTTAAAACTTCGACTACAATTTTAGGACATTAAATGACCTAAAATGAAAATGTTGTAAACATAAAAGTTGTATTACTCATCAACATGTACAACTTTTATTTTGGTCATCTTGTCATGTGACTTTGTTTCAACGATTCAAAATTTAAAATTCAAACAATTTCAACTTGAAACAATATTTTGAAAGAGTAAATAATTTCAGCTGAAAAACTCATGAATATGAAAGTTGTAGAACTCATCAATATGTACAACTTTTATTTTGATCATCTTTTCATTTGACCAAATTTGGACAGTTGAAATTTTGAATTTCAATAAATGACAACTTCAAAAAAGATTTTGAAACCTTAAATGATTTCAACAATAAAAGTCGTGAACATAAAAGTTGTTGAACTCATCACTATCTACAACTTTTATTTTTGTCACTTCTTCATGTGCCAAAGTATTAGTAAACATTGTTCACAAATTCACATATGGCTCATAGTTTCATGAACTATATGAGAGACATGTTGATTTGTGAACAATATTTACTATCACTTTGTCAGATGAAGAAATGACCAAAATAAAAGTTGTAGATCTTGATGAGTTATACAACTTTGATATTCATCACTTTTTTCAGCTGAAATCATTTAATGGTTGAAAATCTCGTTAGAACTTATCATTTTTTTAAATTTGAAAATTTGAATTGCTCAAACTTTGTCAAATAAAAAGAATGACAAAATCAACACAGTAACTTAATAGGGCATGATTTTAGAAAATTTTAGAGAAAAAATCATCACATTTGGAGCTAATATGAGAGAGAAAGACTAATTACAAATTTTACCCAGAGATTAAAAAGAAAAATCACAACTGTTCATGATGATTAATGATGAACAAGTGTGATTTCTCTTTTTAATCAGTGGCTGAAACTTGTAACTAGTTTTTCTTTCTCATACTAACTCCAAATGTGATGGTTTTTTTTCCTAAAATTTTCTAAAATCATGCTCTATCATTTTAGTCTAGTCATCTATCTTTGTCACTAATTTTGAACAATTTAAAATTTGAATTTCAGAAAATAACAGCTTCAAACCTGATTTTCAACCACTAAATGATTTCAGTTGTAAAGGTGATGAATATAAAAGTTGTTTAACACATCACTATCTACAACTTTTATTTTGGTCATCTTTTTATTTGACAAAATTTGAACAGTTCAAATTTTGAATTTCAGAAAATGACAGCTTCAAACCTTATTTTCAACCACTAAATGATTTCAGCTGTAAAGGTAATGAATATAAAAGTTGTTGAACACATCACTATCTCCTACTTTTATTTTGGCCATTTCTTCATTTCATAAAGTGTTAAGTGATTTTATAAAGTTTTAGTAGTAATAGAGTGGATGTTGAAATAGGTTCATCTGGATGTTGCAAAGGGTAGTCTCACACACATACATAAATGTAGTCTCACACACATACATAAATATATAGTCTTACACATATACATAAATATATAGTCTCACATGCATGCATAAATGAAGTCTTACAAACACACACTTACACAAACACTCTGCGTTCAACAACTAGCTAGCCCGTTGTAACGACTTTTCCCTTGACACCTTTTCGTTCCCATGTCAATGTGTCTTTGGGTAGGTTCTTTTCCACAACACTGATCTTTTTAGGAAAGTCTATGAATAGCGGCATCTCATCGTAGTTATTGTAAGCTTTAACATCGTCCACGCCATCAACTCCGATATTGTGCTGTTTTCCGGAGGCAACCACGTGCTTTGTCTTCTTCTTCGGGGGGGGGGGAGGTTACTTTGTGGTTCAGACATATAGAAAACTTATGCGACACGTGAAGCGAGCACCCAAAGGTCATCTTGATAGCCTAGATTCTCGAGGTCTAGGACTCTCAATCCGATCTCGTTCAGTTGGTGTTGTTTGATCCAGCGGCATCGAAACAGGGCCACCGTTATATTTCTTCCATAGTCAAGTTCCCATATCTCTTCAATGATGCCAAAGTATTGGATCTTTTGGCCCAATCCATCGAGAGCCTCTATTCGAACGCCGCTGTTTTGGTTCACATATTTACTATCCTTTGCGTGGGTATAATACGTATACCCATTGATGTCATAAGCATTCCAAGATATCACTTGTCTCGATGGCCCCTCCGCCAACCTACTGATAGTAATAGAGTCTATGGTTTCTCCAGGCGGTATGTTTTGGTCCTTCAACCATGTAGTTAGTCGTTGCTTATGCTGTTTCATGACCCAATCATCCGAACGACCATTTCTCTCCGCCATAATGATAGCCAAGTGTTCATCAATGTACGGTTACATCAGTTGTGTACTCTACAAGACACTGTAATGCGCCTGACTCACCTCTTTGTAATCATGGTCGATGAACACTTTTCTACCACTGGTGCCCTTCCTAGCCAGCCTACACTTGTGATGAGAATCGAGTTTACCAATCCCTTTCTGTACTTTTAGGTACTCT